CTGATGTATTGTATCTCTTTGTCTCCCTTGCTCAGTGCTCACACACTCTTTCTTTCTCTCTCTCTCTCTCTCTCTCTCTCTCTCTCTCATTCCCCCTCTCTCTCCTCCAGAGTCTCTCTTCCTCTCTCTCTCTCTCTCTCTTCTTTTTTGTTCTATTACTAAACCATATATATAAAATATACAGGCCACTCTTCTTTATTCCATTACTTACAAATGTCTCACATAACATTTGAAATGTCTCACATCTCTCAAACATATTTGCTTGAAAGCTTGAAGCTTCACTTCTGTAAGTTCTGTGCATCCTTCATTAAAAGGGCTTAGGTTACAATTTTACCAATCAATTGATGTAAATTTGATCTATAGATGTCAATCATCAAATGTGCTTGAATATACACAATGGGATGTTTGCATGAAACAAAAACAATGCCTCAATTCTAACATTTATCAGTGAATGCATGTGGGCCTGACCTTGAATACAATGCATGCTACCTGGCTAGACAGGCATAGAACTTCATAAGAAAATATGTCAAAATTTATATAATATGACGTTATACTGAATGAAAATGTATTGTGACTGCACTGCTATGCTTCGATAGCTTCCAGATTTATAATACAAGCCATGGACGTTTTTGGAGCGCTCAAACAAAATGTCTCTAATTATAGCAACGACAATAACTCACTTCTATACTGCAGACATGCAACGGTAAAGGTTTTGTAATGGATGGGGCATAAATATGTTTATCCTCCTTGACAACAGTTTATCCAACAAAGCATTTTCTTTTGGGAAAATCAATATTCAATTGATGGTCCTTATCATCTTCACCAAAACTTAATCAAACATACAGGAGTACACTTTGGAAAGATAGGGACTACGTTTGACAATCCTTTATTTCATGTTTAATCAAATTAATGTTTGAGACTTCAGTCACTTCATAATAGATCTACATTAAGCTCTACATTGTACATAAGGAGCACTTGCTTTAAATGATTCATACAGTCAACAACTACATGTAAACATGATGAAGACTTCATACTTCCAAATATATGACCTACGGGTTTATAAGTCACAATACAGGTCTTTTTATTTTGATGCTACCTACATTTAACAACTGAACTATTTATACTCCTTGTAAATGTCATATTTTTTGTGTTTTCATATTAACACAAGGATGAAAGGTGGACTAGTTCAATTAGGGACTATGTTGAAAATTTTAATATGTAAGTTTAATGTGCCACATTCTTAAGAAACATCAATTGGTACAATTCAGTTTTTCATATACTTAGCATGCTTATGAAATTAAAAAACTTGGTAAGGGTGTGAATAATGCAGTTGTTAACTGTACATTATATTTCATAATTATCAGGTGGCAACTTCAGTGAAAATGTCTGACAAATTATTTCCCTAAATATGTCATTATCCACTTAATGAAAGCACCCTTTGCGGTTTATGACTCTAATTATTATTTCCTTGTTGTCTTCTCCAACATTCAATAGCAGGTATGCTCACGGTATGTTTGCGGAGAGGTCTCAGTGGGTGATTTCATACCAAAAACACAGTCACACATGACTCACTTACTCGTAATAAACAGCATGTTGAGCATGAAAATGAAACCAGCTTGATTTCTTTGAAATGATGGAGTAAAATATGTGCTTGCAATTTCTAATGTGCTTTGTAATTTCTATAATATGTGCTTTGCAATTAAAGTCCCACTATATTCATTTGCTTTCAATGTTCTTACCCTGCCCACTCAGTATCTTGTACTCCTAAACTCATAAATTTGTAAAAAAATAAGGAAAATTACTTTGTTTTCTCTCTTTCATCCCACTCCCTCTCTCTCTCTCTCTCCCTCTCTCTCTCTCTCTCTCATCCTCCCTCCTTCCCTCCCTCCCTCTCTCTTTCTCTCTCTCTCTCTCTCTCTCTCTCTCTCTCCCTTCCTCCTTCCAGCACCACCCCTTCCACCTCTCTCCACTATAACCACAAGAATACATTTTAGTTTATGCAACATTAAATTTTGTCAGATATTTAAATGGCCCCGTGCATTGTGATTTACCTTGATTATAACCCTAAACAAATCGTCTCAATTGTCATTACTTGCAACAGTAATCAGTTCCTGTCTGGTGCTGGTCTTAGTCCACAATGGGTGAGGATTTTTCACAAAATTCTCATTCACAACACAAGTCACAAATGAGTTATTAAATACAAAACATTTTGACCATGTTTTTATTCCCTAATCACTTATACTAGAGTCCTTCTTAACCCTTATCCTTAAGACTCATTGTGTTAAGCTTTCAATAACTCTAATCTATTCTTAGTTCAGCCTCGTAATTTTGCAAATCTCTAAATCCTTAGAATAGGTCCCCTTAATAGCCAATATAATCGTATAAAATGATTTAAAATAGGCTGTTAGGGCTAATTCCCATAATACCCCAAATATTCCAGGATATCACACAAATTGGTAGTCATTGTGCAATGTAACTATTGCACCAATTAAGGATGCTTTTCAATCATAGAAACATATGTCGAAGGCTGTCTCTCTCAATGTGATTTAATTCAAAATTGATTATTAAATTGATTATTTTGAACAGTTTGAAATGATCTATATAATCTGAAAGACATGCTTGCCCTTTCTTAATAATCCTTCATCACTAGGCACTAGCATTACTCATCATTTCCCTATATATTCTTGTAAATTAAATGCATAATCCGAATTTAAGTATAACCTTCCCTTCATTTTCCCCTAACATACTGATTGTTAAAGATAAAGACCAGTTCTGGTCATGTGATTGCATTGTGAAAAAACGTTGTGGAATCGCTCAGAAAAGGTTAATCATCTAACATAAGTATTGGTGTGTACTACAAGGTTCTGGAATCATCAAAATGATAAGAAATTTGGCCCAGTCTTGGTAAAGTTACAAGCACTGTACACAGAAAGATGTATATGGGACTACACGACACGTGCGCGATATCTATCCGGTCCAAATAGGTATTATAATTTACCAAATATATCAATTAGTAGGCGGTTTCTACTGCAAAATTTGTATCATCACGTATTAGTCAAAACATCATCTTTCACATGAGTGGTAATAAGAGTTTCCATTTCATTTTTTGAGAGGGGGGCGTTTCCAAAACTGGTCTTTACCTTTAAGAGTTTCATTCTCTCCATGTGTTATAAGAAATATCTCAACATCTATTTTATAAGTTTTAGGAGGTTGATGTCCTGAGTTATCTAATAATCTTCTAAAGGTCTTTTCATGCTAAGAAACTGGAGATTCGGTATTAAACCATCACAGTCCGTTGCTGATTCGTTGAAAAATTATTCATGCATTATAACCCCCTTTAAATTCCCTTTTCACCCAAGTCTATCCCAAAATCCAAATCCAAAATCCCTCCGTCTTCTGTCTCTTTCCTGATTATTTTATCAACTTCTTAGTGACTACTTAAGAAGATGACTCATCTTTCTCTAAAGTAAAGAAAAGTTTTGTTCAATTTCCTCCCAGCATAACAAATTTGTCATCTTTCATCATTTTAACAAGTTACCTCCATCTCATTTTGTAATCTTCAAATTCACCTCCTGCTTCTTGACTTCTTAAAACAGATAGGAAAAAAAATGCTGATTTTGTTTTGTTCTACTTTTCTCTAGTTCAGCATACATCAGTTCAACTTTCTTTTAATTCTTAAATAACTTTTCTGCTTCTTGATTACTTTTTTGTTAATAAAGAGGGGAAACAAGATGAATGATCACCTCAAACCTTTGCTTCGTTCCCCAAGCTAAGCTTTCTGACACAGTGCAAATAAATGTCACCTTGACCCGTTAAATACCAGTCTAAAGGAAACATCAGCCCCTGTAGAAGCACAGTTTATCCATCTGACGCTCAGGGGATGGCTAAAGAATACAGCAATGAAATGTCATCTACTTCAGATCACGTTCTCTGAGCGTTCTGCAAGCGTCCCCCAATCAGGGTCAAGATAGCAAAGACGTTTTTTTAGCTATGTGTGTACACATCTTGAGCGCATGCAATAGGCCAGGGAGGTGACAGGATGGCCAAGTAAACCGAGGGTATCAAGAATTATTCTTCCTCATGAATTATTTCAATGATGCATGGCTATTAGCATCATCCATTGTGATCTTGTTATCAAATTTTATATATGAATTCAAAGGTGGATTCAATGGACAGGGGGGGGGGGGGGTGAAGTGACAAGTGAAAACAACTTGGAGCAACTTTATATCATTAACAATTAGCAATAGTTCATAACAACTCTTATCCCCCCCCCCCCCTCCTTGAAATATTGTCATTTGATTCCAGGAATGGGTGTACATGTATGGACAACATCTCATATTTCTACACAGGAAATATTTGTTTATAAGTTCTCAGCAACATGAATTTATAAAAATGCCAACATCTTCACACATACATACCCTTGCGTCAAAGTCATGAACAAACTTTGGTACATGTACACGTAGCCTTCTAATATTGTCAAGTAAGTCACATGCATGAACCACAAACGAGTCCCAGTACCTTTTTCTTTTCTTGTTGCTAAGATTGCTATTTCAATGATGTTCTTGCAGATCTTGTTTTCCTCTCAAAGATTCCCATCCATATTTAGTACCCATTATGGCCTCTGACACTATAGAAATACATATGTGACTGTAATCCTAAAATATACTGCACCATTTTCAAAAGAAAAGAAAACAGTGTATTTAGGATTTGAAGGAGCTTAAATCACTGCACCTGTGTTTCTATATATAACCCCTCAACTTTAATAAATCTTATTCTTGGGGAACACAACAAATCATAAATCACTCCAATGTTTCCCATATAGGATTGCAATATCACAGGGCTTTGATTACAACCATTCCCGACTTTCAAGTTTTGATGATGTAAAACTAAAAGATCGGATGGATGCATCAATACCTTATGAGAGATCCTTAGTCTCGTATCACTTCAATCAGACCTTTCTTAATTGCTTCACACAATACTTCAGCGTAGTGTATACTTACATCTAAAACCACGATACCCGTTCCTCTACGTTTTTCTCTCTTCTTGCCGAACCTTCCTCCCTTTCCACCCTTCGCTCCTCCTCCTCCTGCTCCTCCTGCTTTCTTTTCTCTCTTCTTTCTCTCCGGCCTTCCTCCGCTCGCTCCTCCAGCAGCCCCCTCCTCGCCTCCTTCACCCGACCCCGATGCAGCGGCGCGTTCCCTTCTCCTTGCCGCTATTCGACTAGCGGCATTCGGCTCCATATCATCTGCCTCGCCGTTGTTTGCCATGGTTTTAATCCCTCAAAACAAAATACTGTGCTATTCCAAAAAGTTCCAAAGGGACGAAATCAGGTCGAGCAGACGAAGAAATTCGGGAAATTCCGCTGCCTTTTCCCCCGAAATCCGTTTATTCCTACTTCAGGCCTTTTACGGCCAAATTCCTAACTGGGCGATCCCGTGCGTACAACTTTCCGCACTCGCTGCTCGAATAACTCCACTACCAAGCGAGCGGGGCCACGAAACGGGATCTTTTGCAGACGACAGATTTTATGTTCAACGGAGCCGTCCAAAGTCCGCCGCGCTTTTAGAGAGCGCTTTTCTATGCAAAAGTCTATCCGTTGTGTACCCACTTCGCATTCACAAAAGAAGACATTAAAAAGACGTGAATACTCTTTTACGGATTCTCTTTTCTTCCCTCTTTCTTCATGGAGACTAGAAAAAAAGCCTCTATTCACAGCTTGCTACAAAAACACCCCATTATTGAGGTATTCGTTAACCCCACAACAACCAAGCCTCATGAATATAACCCAGGCTTATTAAACCAGGGGCTTTATACTAAACGTAAACATTAACACAGCAGGATTAACCTTCCGAAAGTAAACTTTGCCAAGTACACCCAAGTAACTGTCCTTCAGCTATTGTTCGCCGAAAATAAACTAAAGAAAATGCTATGTGATCGTGCAGCCTACTTTACATGACGGTTGTATTTTGAAAGTTTTTCACTTGTTCTCAGAACTTCGTTTATAGTGGTGGTAAAACGTGTCGGTTGCAATCTGGTGGTGGCGCCATTTTAGAACTTGCCGGATTCACAATAGAATGTTTCTCCGTTGAGAATGAGTTGAACTTCGAAGACAAAGAGCGAAGATAAATATTGACACCAGTATAGTTTTTGTCAGTGGATGTTAACTTCCAGAAGGTTTCATTGATGGTTGTAACAGTAACTTATTCCAATCTGGAGGCGGTGCCATTACTAAAATCACTAAATGAATCATCATCAATCATGGTTCCTCATTTTACCACCGAGCATAATACTGCTAGCACAAATATTATCTAGTTACTTTTCTATCTATAGTGTTATCTGATTTAATATTAGACATAGAAGATTCGATCCTTACTAGTACTTGCACAAACTGATTCATCATCATCCTCTTACCCAAACTCTTAAAAATATAAAGTCATGTTTTTCGGATTTGTAAAAGTTAGATTATCGACAAAAAAAGTTATAAGCTTCCACTTTTGAGACGCTAATCCTTTGAAATCCCAATGATAATTATGTGGGAGAGAGAAATGAGAGAGAGAGAGAGAGAGAGAGAGAGAGAAGGAAAGACAGATTGCAATCATTATCAAAATCGCTCCGTACAGTCATGGTTTTTCATTAAAAATAGGATAAGAATACCACCGAGTATGCACTGCGAGCACAAAGTCAGTTATGAATAAAAGTGGACTCAATTTGTAACTCTATCTATAGGGTTATCTGTTATAATATTAGACGTGGTCATCCCATTTGCTTGACTCGTTCACTTCTCAAACTCCTATGAAGGTGTGTGTGTTTTCGGATTAAAAAGAAAAAGCTTATCAACAAATTTGCTCTAAGATAGAGCTGTTTAGAGGTTCCTTGTGCTAATTACAATGTTCATAAACATTCTCACACTTTCATGATACCGATCTGAATCCGAGTGATTCCTCTTATCTCTATGCTTTTTAGCACCTACTATAAATCTTCTCAATGCACTGGAAGTTGTTAAATACAACATTGGCGTCATAATTGCATTCTCTGTACGTCTTTCATTGGTATACATTGATAATATCTAAAATGGCTGTGCAAGAAATCAATGTGATTTATAGAGAAAAAATAAACTATAATAGAAAGAAAAAGAATTAAGAGAGACAGAGAGACAGAGACAGAGAAAGAAAGTGAGATATATATGGAGAGAGAGAGAGAGAGAGAGAGAAAGAGAGAGAGAGAGAGGAGGGGGAGGCACAGGAAGAGCAATGCAATATTCAGTGAACATTGTATTTCATTTTAGTTATCAGCTAAGTGTAAAACTATTGTAAATTACGATATGCTGAAGTTATGGGAATTGGGAAATAAGCGAGAAGATGAATCGGGGTAATTATAATTATGTGATTTTTTTTTTGACAAGCAAAAGCGAGGCAACTGGCAATCAGTCATTCATCTACGACGCTACCAGTAGTCGAGCGCCATCTCTCGACTGCAGTTGCTATGACTACCCTAAGCTACTATCGCTCCAATCGAGTCCAAAGTCCGTAAAGTTATAAATGAACTTTGCAACTCTTAGCCCTCCAAAATATGATTCAGGATAATTTATGACCAACTATGATTATGATACTTATATACATTATCCATTAAAACAAACAGAGATATAACAGCTAGATAGGGGTGTAGAAATATCGGTCAAGTTTGTGTGGACGGTTTTTCGACAGGGTCTGGGCCTGGGGTAAATGCTTGTACCCGTTTCGGATTGTTACGCACAGGTGTAGTAGGGGGTTGAGCATGAGAGCTGTTGCAGGTGCATTCATCTGCAGCAAAACTACGCCCGCACCAGTGTTGGCAGCTCTTGCGCAGATCATAAGCCCAGTCTTTGCAGTGCACGCACGCTTGTATTTACAACTGAGTGTTTGCCAAAGTCCTTAGACGAAGGCTCTTTAATCACTTTGAAAACAGATTAATTACAGATTAATTGCCAGATCTTTAGAATGACACAAGGACTTGGCGATCTCTCAGATCAGCTGAAAGTTTGATTGCCATGGAATGTAACATTTCCTGGCCAGCAGCGACCGAGGTGGATTTCGGCTTCATGTTTTTGGTGAGTGGATTTCTCATTGGTTTGGTTTGGGTTTCGTAGAAAGTAGTAGTCCCGTTAGATCATTTACAACATATTTGAAGACAAATATGATGAGATGATGTTGGAACGAGCATCTTTTAATGAGGAGGAAGTAATTAGTCGAGAAAGTATAGCTTTATGCGGATATTATGTCTTATGATGGCATGTGATTTAATAATATCTGACGTTGGAGTGTGGGAAAATTATACCAAGGCAATGATTTTAAAGCGAAAGGTGCAATTTGCCAATAGTACGGTGGCTCATGATAATGGTGATTAATTGTTATTGGTGTGTGGTGGTAGTGATGATGATGATGGCGGTGGTCATGATTGTGGTAATGATGATGTTATTGATATTGTTATCATTGCATAATTTTGTAATTACATAAATGTTATTAATTTTATGATAATAATAATAGATATAACAATAAAAACAATGATAGTACTACAAATTATGATTATATTGATATTTGATAATCATCACATTATTACATTTTGTTAAAAATTCAACCCAAATTGTTTTTTCATACATTTTAAAAAGAGATCGTTCAGCCATATTCTGTTTGTTTTCTTTGAGGAGAAATATGTAATCTGTGTCTCTAAATCATGGACTAACAAGTCTAGTCTGTCGACACGTACCGAAGAGGAAGAATAATAATGTTTTGTTTTCTCAATCATTTATTTTGATCAAAATTGCTGAACGTGCATTGAATGTTCGTGAAAGTATTTAATTTTATAGTGTAGTAAAGTTGTTAAATGTTAGTTTCCCTTGATTGTTTTTTTTTTGTTCATTTTCAGTTGATGTCAGTGTAAACAATGAAAGGCCATTCTGGCGATGTGATGACCTCCGACCCCAACAAGCAGACCTTTCCACTCATCACTGGAGCCAATGGAGGGGCAACTCTTCCTTCCCTCCCAGATGACACCCTGCCCTCCCCTTCCAAGGAAATGGAATCTCTCTCCTCCAATAGCAAGGCTTCAATAGAGCTGCCCAGACTACTCCAACCCAGGGAGGAGTTGGCTCCCCCTTCTGGGAGGGACAACGATAAAGCGTTAAAACCCAGTCTTCCCCTGGTGAGTTTTCTCTTCACTTACCTTAACCCCATGCAGTCACATGAACGAGACCAATTCCAGATCGACTTAACAGACCTAACAAAACTCAAATGGCTAAAAATCATTAATTTTTAGCTGGTTTGACTGAGGATTGAATAGCTAAAGAGCATGTGGGGTATTATTAACATCCTAATTAACATATTAATATCATCCTATTCAGGTAGCCTGAATATGTCATTTCTGTAATTTTCAGTACCAAAAAGTGTCAAAATTTTTTTTAGATAACAAAGAGTTTAAGCCTTTGATATTTAATGTTTTACAAACCCAAGTTAGGCATGAAATTGCCAATTATTTTGGACACATTTTACCCCAAGATTATGAGCTGAGCTTGAGAATAAATTTCAATGAAATGAAAGAGTTTTTGATTCATTTAAAGTCTATAGAATGTCAATAAAGTTTGAAAATACAGATGAAGAAATGGCTTTAGGATTCTTAACCATACGGTACTTGTATCAATGAATTTAACCTTTTGGAAATATTCTGTTTGTGGTATTTCTATGAACTACAAGAAATATTGCTCTCCCTATGTTCAGTATGGCCCCAATGAAGTGAGCTGCCAGTTGCACTTTGAACAGGTAAAAGTCGTTGTGAAGGAAACATGGTGAAAAATGCTTTACTTTATATTTGCACTGGAAATGATATTTCTGTCACATATGAATAAATATATAAATTCAAACAATGTTATGTGGTTGTGTGGTTATCATGGGCTACTCGGACCTTTTACGATGTCAGTAAGTTTACTTGCTTCACTTTCTAAATATTTTAAGATACACTTTCCTTGGTTTATTGGCTTCATGGGTACTTGGTCGCTGTCAGTTCAAAATGATGCAGTGTATTATTGCAAGAAGTTTGCAGGTAATGGATATGTTCTAGCTCATCTTACCCTTATTCAAACACTTCATCCTACAATTTGATTATGATGTTATTGTGCCTCTTTACTTATGGATTTCTAGGATATGTGTATCTAGGATTTCAAGTTTCAGCATTTGAGGAACATTGTGATTTAAATTGTTGTGCAGAATTTTATTTTCTCTTTTGATTGTTACAGTTTATTTTTCTGTTTGTACTCTCTAAAAAAAAAATCGAGTGATCACGGACATCACTCCTCTGGAGAGTGAAAATGTAGTGAAAATAGAGTGAACATTCACTCTTTTCTTCTTAGAGAGCACTCTAAAATCAATTGACTTTCACTCCTAAACAAGTGATCACGGATGTCACTCCCAAGAAAGTGAAAATAGAGTGAAAATTCACTCTTTTTTTTAAGAGAGTATGAGGTTAGTATCAAACCTGGGCTGTAATCTCAATAGCGTGTCAATAGTGTTATGAAAACTATTATTCAAATTTCTCTCTGTTTTTAATATATTTGTACTTTTTTGGGGCAGTTTCAAGAACTTGGTTCTTCTCTTTTTTGTGACAAGCAAATCATGTGTCTAGGAATTAGCCTACTGATTAAAATATTGATGAAGTTTGCGAAAATAGGCGGATTTCTGTCAGTTCTAGGAGTTCCTGTTATTCTACCGTAAATATTGTTAAATATCAAGATTAAATGAATATTTTCCAGTGTTTGAA